AGGAATCCTACTTGGGCGCCTCCAGTTTCGGCCTCCCCCTTCCATATTCATCCGGAGAGGGGGGGAGGAAGAGGGAGGAGAGAAGGAAGGAGGGCTGAATCCCTCTCCTTCCTTTCCGTTTTCTTCTCTTTCCTTCCCCCTATTTCGGCCTACATGGGGCACACCAACCCTCTAGGGGCTGGTCTGTCCCTTTCTTGGCCCATTAGGCCCATGTAGTTGCGAGGGGACCTTTTTTGGTGACCCGATACGTATCCGGTATCCCCGGAACACTTTCGGTGTCCGAATACTATCATTTTACATATGAATCTTTACCTCTCGACCATTTTGAGACTCCTCGTCATGTCTGTGATCTCATCCGAGACTCCGAACAATATTCGTTCACCAAATCACATAACTCATATAATACAAAATCATCATCGAACATTAAGCGTGCGGACCCTACAGGTTCGAGAACTATGTAGACATGACCGGGACACCTCTCCGGTCAATAACTAACAGCGAAACCTGGATGTTGATATTGGTTTCTACATATTCTGTGAAGATCTTTATCGGTCGTACTGTAATGACAACATACGTAATTCTCTTTGTCATCGGTATGTTACTTGCCCGAGATTTGATCGTCAGTATCTTCATATCTAGTTCAATCTCGTTACCGGCAAGTCTCTTTACTCGTTCCTTAATACATCATCCCGCAACTAACTCATTACTCATATTGCTTGCAAGGCTTATTATAATGTGCATTACCAAGAGGGCCCAGAGATACCTCTCCGAGAGACGGAGTGACAAATCCTAATCTCGATCTATGTCAACCCAATAAACACCTTTGGAGATACCTGTAGAGAATCTTTATAATCACCCAGTCACGTTGTGACGTTTGATAGCACACAAGGCATTCTTTCGGTATCCAGGAGTTGCATAATCTCATAATCGAAGGAATATATATTTAACATGAAGAAAGCAATGGCAATAAAATTAAACGATCAATATGCTAAGCTAACGGATGGGTCTTGTCCATCATATTATTCTTCTAATAATGTGATACCATTCATCAAATGACAACACATATTTATGGCTAGAAAATTTAACCATTTTTGATTAACGAGCTAATCTAGGCTTACTAGGTAAACTGTGTTTTTTGTCAATGTATCCACACATATATCAAGTTTCCGGTTAATACAATTTTAGCATGAATAATAAACATTTATCATGATATATAAATATACTTCCTCCGTTCCTTGATATAAGGTGTATAGATTTTTGAGAAAAAATCCAAAATATAAAGTGTATTACGTTGCACCACTCGTTTGGACAATTTTTTCAGGAATTTGATTACATTTTCTTATATCATGCAAGCTCCTCTATTTTCTCATGTCAATTACTTAGGTGTAATCTCGTCTAAAACTTGTGAAATTTTCCCTTCACATGCGTTCTTTAATTTCCCTATATTTAGAAACGGAGAAAGTATAAAATAACAACTTTATTATTACCTCTGGGCATGTTTCCTTTAGTGGGATCATCACGTAGACTTGAGGTGCAATCTCAGCCACTGATCACCCGTTGATCTAGTGATCGGTCCAAATTTTGCAGCTAATACCATTCCCGATAGTCCAAATGGTGGATGCTCGAAAGATGGCGCTCATGTGGTCGTCATGCGGAATGTGCGGAATATGCAGGTGACTCCAACTCCAAGGCTTGGAAGGCCATCACTAGAATTGAAACTCCAATACAAACCAAAAATAAACCAAGGGCAAATAAACTAGCCAATGTTTCCCGGGTCCAACGAGTCACAGCGGAGGTAGACAGGCAGCTTGGTAAGCTAAAAAAAAGTTATAGTGAAAAGAATTGAAAGGACAAGGACATGTAAAACAGTTTTATCTTAAGTTTTGTATGTAATTTAAAAATAACAATATCTCTTAGCCTTATTTTTAATAACTAGTTATTTCTAAAAACGTGGTATGACATACTATGCTAAGAGATCATCTTTTAAAATAAAAGAAGATGTGACACCTCTAAGATAGCATCATCATTGAATATGCCCTAATTAGTGACACAAGTTTGCTTAAATTAGATAACAAATGATTACTTGTTGGTCAAATAACGTAATTGTTGCCACAAACGTTAAAATAAAGGTAAGAAATGGAATTGTAACTCTAAAAATAAACAAGAATCAATAATTTGATAATTATACATGTGAAGTTCATTAAAATATATAGTAGTATCTTACAGTAAACAGGGAACTGAATCCCCTGGTTCAAAATCACAAACTACTGTACCAAGCTAACTAGCTACGTAGGCAATATATATATAAGCAAGTAATTTACAATTTCACTTTGTGGATTCAGTACAACGTGTGCAAAATAATTATACAGACGACCCCCAAAAACAATACATACCTAGTAAAAGCTTAGCTGAAGCAAGGCCTGGCTAAAAGATACTCCTTCCGTTTCAAATTAATTGTCGCAGAAATGAATGTATATAGAACTAAAATACATCTAGATACATTTATACCTGCGACAAGTAATTCGAAACGGAGGGAGTACCTACATACGAGCACCGACTACATGACGGCGCATGCCGCGTTGGGGTTCTCGTCGGAGAAGGCGGAGGTGTACTTGACCTCGGTGGAGGAGGCCCTGGCGAGCGGCGCGGCGTCGGGGTCGGCGATGACGTTCCGGACGTAGCCGGGAGGCGCCTTCTTGTCGTAGGCGCCGGGGGCGTAGGGGTGCGGCACCACGTCGTAGGGCACGTACGGCCACGGCTCCACCTTCTTGCCGGTCTTGCGCGCCACCCGCCGCATCAGCTTGGCCGGGTCGTCGATGTGCCCGGTGACGGCCACCTTGTTCTGCTTGGGGAGCACCTCGACGCCGGTGACCCCGCGGATGCCATCGACGGCCTTGCGGATGTGGCGCTCGCAGCCCTCGCAGTCGATCCGCACCTTCATCTCCACCGTCTCCAGCTGCGGCCGCTTCTTGATGTGCCGCCGCGTGCGCACCGTCGGGCACGCGCACATGTCCGACACCGCGTCCAGGATGCCCATCCTCAACTGACCTGAAGATGAATCGATCGGCAAGCAAGGCAGCTAGCTCAAGGCTACAAGCTATAGCTCTGAGAAGATTGATTAGAAGTTCGAACGACGAGCTGGGATGAAAATGAATGGAGGAGGAGGAGGCCGGGGAGGAGATATAGGTGGCTGGACGGGGGCGGGGGCGGGCGTACGGAGGGCGACGGCGACACGTGGGGAAGGTGCGTGTGGGAAGGTGATAGGGTGACCGAGATGGGTCTGGAGTCTGGATCGGCCGGATCTGCGTGTGTGGCCGGAGGTCGCCACGTGAACCCCCGAGAAGACTGCGAGTACAAGGCCAACTCGGGTTGATACTCTTGACGGAAAATTAACAAGCATTTCTCTGTTGGTTTTGGCTCCCGTTGCGTAGGCTTTCGGCAAACGGAGGTCGCCGTCCGTCGTTGTCCCAGCCATTCTGGGTTGGAGTTGGGCGCGTTGGAGGTTGGACTGAGCTTTCTTCTGCAGTTTAGTTTTTTTTTTCTTTTCTCTTATATTTTTGCGGAAGAATTCTTGTATTAGTCAATCAAAACACAAGTATAGTCATGCTTAACAGCGTTCAAAAAGACCTCCGGTCCCGACCCAAGCCATACAAGAGTTCGGCCTTGAGTCCTCCGAAAATTTGCCAAAACATAACTTAAATTATTACAACTTCATCGAATATGAGTAATACAAGAGCTACGTTCGGTCATACTATTCTTAATTTCGCTAACAAGAAAGGTGTATTTTGATCTGTTTGTATCTCCACTAATTTTCACCATGTTAACTGCCTTCAAACTGTCGCTTTCAACATCAATTGGTAGATTGCTTCACTAGAGCTAGCAACAGTCCTTGTCGGATCGATAAGATCTCAGCCTCCAATACATCATCGCACGAAAAAAGATGTATGCATGTGTCTGGATGGACGAACCAGCATGTGTCGAAAATAGAGTCTGACAAAAAGGGAGGTGGTGCTAGTGGGTGGACATGGTCTATGGACAACCCTGAAATTTCCCCTTAGTCTATTTTTCTTTCAAGTACACATAGTCTATACATAAACTCTTTTTTAAAATAAAAAAAGTAGCCTACATATAATTTAGAAAAAATATATTAACAAATAAATTTATATGAATATTTTCAGGGAACTGTCTTTTTATGTTGAGAGGATTTTCAGGGAACAGTCAACAGTGCAAACTGCAAAGGTAATCCCCATCCGACCATTCCAGCTCTTCTAAATCCTTATTTTTCTTACTTTTTCTATCAAACGAGGCGGTTTCCCTCCGATTTTATTAACAAAACCAACGAGCAAAAGCATCCACCACTGCTAATTGGGTTTTCAAAAGTTTTACCGAAGACATGGCCACAAACTCCACACCGAAACCGGGGGACACAGCCCCACACAACCAACGACCGCAACATAGTTCAAATGACAGCAACAAAGTAATAAAACTACTAATAGGCGCTGAAGGAAAGCAAAATAAAGTAGAATAGGCAGGGCCGTCTCCAGGAATTCAGGGCCCCGGGCGAAAACCAAAATGTGGCCCAAAATTTCGAATAATTCACATAAGAGAAAAATCAATATGCGTAAAGCATACTCCCATTTTATTATATATTTGCATGTCTGTTTTATTTGTATCTTATTTAGGCATATATCAAATATTAATACTAATGCTAAAAAGGTAAACAATAGCAAAGCAATAAACAGACCTCATGTTCTACCAAAAAGGAGCGCCTGTCTAGCTAGTAAACAAAACCTAAGAAATTATTAGTGATCATCGATCATTTGATCAAACAGAATCTAATTAGTTTCAAATAGTAACAACCGCTAGATGATTAGATCATTCAAATACAAAGAAAATAAATTTAAAAAAGAACCTTGCTCTTGGAGATAAAAACCAGTTCGTAGTCTGGTGTAGATGTGTTCCTCAATCCTGATTGAAGCAACGAACTGACAGAGCCGCGGTCTGTGATTGTTGCATCTTCACGGCAGCCGGCAGGAAGACGATTAACAGTGGGATCGGATCGGAGGCAACTGCCGGCGCCGGCACGACTACTAGGGCCTCGCGCAGGGCAAGGGTTTGGTGCTTCGCCGATCGCCGGTCGCGAGATCCAGACACCAGTTCACTGCCTGTTCCGATCGTGCCATTGGGCCTCCAAACTTCTGTGCTAGTATTATTTTGGGCATGTGTTCAAAAAAAGTATTATTTTGGGCCTCCCACCTTCTGTCATATCGCAGCCCAGTAAACAGCTCACGTACACGTACAACGGTTGGATTCCTGGTCTTTTTAGCGATTTTTCAGCGGCATCTAAGGAAGCGATCTTTCCTGATTTTCTCTCGATGGGGGCCCCATGATTTTGGGGGCCCTGTGCGATCGCTCATCTCGCTCCCCCTCATCGACGGGCCTGAGAATAGGCAGCCCCGCGCACATCTTGATCATGATCAGGGAGACGAAGCCAAGATCATAGTCAGCTCTCCAGCCTCAGCACCCCCGGCCTCCATCCCTATGATGCGCAAAAGATTTCACTTGCCACCCCGCTCGATTAGTTTTGCTCCCAGCATCAGCAGCTTTTGTTCTGAGTTTTTTATCTGCAAAATAGACCAGTCAACAATCCAGTTGCTCATTAGTCTCACGAGGATCATGGGATCATGAACTTTTTTCGATCTAAAAATGATATCATTTCTGCATTTCCAACTGGACCAAAACAAAGCAGAAACCCCAACTAAGATAAGTTTTTTGTCAGATTTCTGAAAGGTTTTCGACCAGACATTTAAACAATCATCTAAACCATTTGGGACTACTCTCAAATCAAAAGCACACTTCACCAGGCTCCGAATCAGCCTGGCAGCAGAACATTGAAAGAACAAGTGATCAATGCTTTCATCTTTTCCATAGTAAACACACTCTTTTCTCCCCCTTCCACCCTTTTCTGATCAAATTGTCTTTAGTTAGAATGCTTTTACGAGCAATCTTCCATAGAAACTTGTGTGGGAAACCTATATCAAATTTTAACCAAAAACAAGTATAATGATTTCACAGAGAATTTTGCTGTCATTGGTGAGCATCCACTAGGGTTTATCTTTGCCCCCATACATTCTAACTTAACTTCTTCACACCTATTTTTGAGACTAGCCCATAGCTTAGCACTCTCTCCAATCAAGGTTCTTCTCAAAGAAAAATTATTCCAACTCTTACTAATAGCTTCTGTAACAGAGATGTTATGATCAAAGTTGAATGTTATACAATCTGGGGTATGCCTCCTTTAGTGGTTTGGAGCCCACCCACCAGTCTTCCTAAAACCTAGTGTTCTTACCATCACCCAACTCTTTCTTAACATGTTATTTTTCTTGCTAGATGTAGTTTTGTGATGATTTAAATTCTTGACATTGTCCCCTTTCCAACATAAATGTGAAAAGCGATTTAGATATTTAGTAACTTTTGTTCCTACATAATTTACAGGAAGGCAAGATGAATAAAAGTAACAAGACAATGGCATAATTTTTTTTAAGTTCAAACCACGTGATCCGCCGAAACATCTCATCCAAAGCCGATCCACATTTGATGAATTGCAATGGCCTTGGTCATCTTGCCATGAATATGGTTGTAGTGATGTGCACACAACTTTTCCTTTGGTTATTAGTTATGCAACATAGCTTGACTTTTATATGCCTTGAAACTGTTTTTCTTTTCTAGTATTTTTGGCCCTTAGTTTCTTGTCTAGGGCGTTACCCTATCCTGGCTCTGCCACTGTATGTTATTTTTTTTCTTTATGATGTGTAATTATGGTATACACACCACCAACCCGCTAAACACCCGTGCAACCAAGTAGTATAATCATTCAAAATTCAGCCTAAAACTATCTATTGGTTAGTGTGGAAAAAGTAAAACACACTCTAGTATAAAAGTAATAAGTTGAGAGAATATGTATTTGGCGTCAATAAAATTCATCTTGTAGCACTCGTGCACTTTGCTTCAAAAGCAAAGCATGGTTAAGCCTTGGGCGGTGTTCTCTGTGCCTAAGACCATAGGGCATCTCCAAAGCGGACCCTCAAAGCTCATGCAAACATCCGCACCGAGCTATTCGGATGCAGTTTTCCATTCAATGGCATCATGCATCGATCCGTGGGCCAGTCCGGACATCGGGTTATCCGCAAACCGGAAGCAAACTAGGGGGTTGCGGGAGTCCAAACACCAACCATGTAAGACTCCGACACCCCCGGCCCATCCAAAACTACACCCCAAACCCCGTCCATACTTCCCTCTTTCTCTAGATACGCTTTCTCTCTCGCCGACACCGCCGCTCTATCACCACAAATTAAGATCATGATGATCCCAATCACGAATATATGGTTGTAAGAAACAAATCCCCATACCCATGCCTATTTTAATTATAAGTGTTTACACTCTAAGATTGTTAAGGTCCGGTTGAAAAAACTGGAATTTAATTCTCTTGCAAAGACTTGGTAGAGTCTTTGTTGCAGTAGCCATTCTCTCGTGGGTTAGATAAACTCGGGATCACTCCTTGGGAAAAGGGCGGGAATGTCTTTGTTATCTAACCGGATCTCAAAGGGCATTAGCGGTGACCCCGGCTCTAGATGGTGGGGCATGAGAGCATTCCCCATTGTCAAGTTTGTAGGTGCAGTTCATAGCTTCAGTTTGTTTGTTGTATGTTCTTGTCAGACCTTTGTCGAATAATAATATCACTTATGCATCGCTCGATGCAAAGGTCAGGGCTTGCTCCCCTTCCAAAGAAAGAAATGAAAAGAAATACTCCTAAATAAAGGCATGCACCAAGGATGGGCCACGTCTGCGGCTGACCCACCCTTCTGTCATCGGTCACGGGTTTGGCCGACGGCATGGACCGAGTCAACTGCCCTTGGTTAAGGCTATTTGGAGAAGATAAATAGGAAAACGTATTACCTTCCAAAGTACTCCCTCCGTTCTGAATTACTTATCACAAGTATGGATGTATCTAGATGTATTTTAGTTCTAGATACATCC